GGGAGGGAGGGAGAGACTTTTGGCTTCATGTAAGGAAAGCAGCAGAAGCAGCAGAAGTCTTTCTTTCTCTCCCCCAAACTCTGCCAGAAATGAGTCTTTGTGAGACTTGTCACACCAGCGCAGCCTCTTGGAGCAGGAGGCCTTGCGGGGTCCCAAAGACTCATTTCTGGCAGAGTTTGGGGGCGAGAAAGAAAGACTTTTGCTGCTTTCCTTGCGTGCAGCCAAAAGCAGAAGAAGAAAGAAGTGGAAAGGAGCAGCCCGGTGGCCAGGCAAGGTATGTGGGGCACGTGGGGCAAGTTCCCCCCCTCCGCCCTTTCCCCCCTCCCCTCACTAACTCGTGTTGTTCGCAATGCAGGCAACGCAAGCCTTGTGTTTCCGCGCAGCCTGGATTAATTGCTTTGGGGTTGACATTTCTCTGCGGACCACCCAAATTTTCTCGCACACCACCAGTGGTCCTCAGCCCACTGGTTGGCAACCACTGGTTTAACACACAGAGAGTCTGCAGGATTGCAAGAGAAGGTCCGTAACAACCCCGCTGTGCGGGTGCAAAGCACGCGCTCACCCATTTGGTTGTTACACCGATTGAATCACACCCCTGGTACGTTGAGTTATGCTGACTAGTGATCGTTGACTTCTTACCAATCTGAAGCCCCACCCCTTTAGAAGCTCCAAGTGTAGCTTTAGATTTGGAGCTGAGCTTGGTTGGAATAAAGAAAAGAAAAATATCAGCCGAGGAAGGACTACGTTGAGCAGGATGCCGTGTGAGTGGCAGAAGAGAGAGATCCGTTGTTTTGCTCTGAAATAAACACCCTCGGCCGAAAGATTCCCCAAAGGGTTGATAATCTCCTTGGAGATCCCATCTAACCACCACTGGGGTTGGAGAGTTCGCAAAGCTTCCTGCTGACTGAGAAGGAAACACACCTGTGGTCCACCAGGAGGAGAGCAAAAAGAGGCCCTATGTAAACCAAGGATAAGCCAAAGGCAGGTCATTGGTGGAGCCACCGGTTATCCGTGGGTCCCAACTCAGAATAAAAGGCAGATGTTTGCTAGAAGTTGAGCTGAACCTAAGGAAGAAAAGTTGAACCACGGCGTTTGTCGCCTGGGAGGATCTGGTCACAAAGGTGTGTTTTCAAAAGGCAGCCGAAAAACATCCTTTGTTGTTCCTGGAAGATGTTTCGCTTCTCATCCAAGAAGCTTCTTCGGTTCTTCAGTTCAGCAAAACGTCTTCTAGGAAAACTCAAGAAACTCTTTGGTGGTCTCTGCGCTGGCTTGTTTTCTCTCAGACGTTTCGTTACCCCAAGTAGGTCACATCATGACTGCTAGTCTAGCTCAGCGGTCACCAACCAGTGGGCCGGGGACCACTGGGGGGTCCACGAGAAAATGTTGGTGGTCTGCAGAGAAATGTTTCCCCCTGCCAAGCACTCCCCACAAAGCAATTAATCCAGGCTGTGTGGGAACACAAGTCTGTGCCGCCCACGCCACACTCCGGCCCCCACCCTTCGGCCAAACGCAAACCTTACCTTGAGTAGAGCCACGCAAGCTGGAAGTAGGAAGCTAAGACCAGCAGCTCCTCCAGTCCATGGCAGGCCGGTGCACCTGGGTGGAGGAGCAGCTGCTCCGGGATGGCCAAAGGGGCCAGTCCTGTGACTCTTGCAGCTCTGGAATATGGGGCTGACTTTCCCACCAACATAGCAAACCACTGTTGGCCAAAATCCATATTAGTGGTCCGTGGGATTTGAAATCATGATTTTGGTGGTCCCTGGGTCCAAAAGGTTGGCGACCCCTGGTCTAGCTAGTCTAACACGGACGATATTACTTAGTTTGTCAGTGGTGAAACCAGATTCACCGAATAGCCTTGTTCCTAACATCACAACTAAGAACTAGGACCCGGGAGAAATTCCCTGAATGGTGAGAGCAATTAAACGGATGGAATTGTGCGTCCTCCATCACTGGAGGTTTTTAAGCAGAGATTGGACAGCCATTTGTCTGAAATGATGTAGGGTCTACTGCTTGAGCAGAGGGTTGGACTAGAAGACCTCCAAGGTCCCTTCCAACCAGCGGTGGGATTCAAAATTGTTTACTACCGGTTCTGCGGGCGTGGCTTGGTGGGTGTGGTGTGGCTTGGTGGGTGTGGCTTGATGGGCGTGGCTTGGTGGGCGTGGCAGGGGAAGGATATACTGCAAAATCCCCCTTCCCTCCCCACCCCACTAACCTGCTTTCCAGCTCCGTTCTCCTGTGCAGGGCAACCAAAGGAGACCCAGCCGATCAGCTGGGACTCAATGGGAGGCAGAGAAGAGATGGGGTTGGCGGGGCCAGTCAGAGGTGGGATTGGCCGGTTTTCCGAACGACTCAAAATTTCCACTACCGGTTCTCCAGAACTGGTCCAAAGTGGCTGAATACCTACCTCTGCTTCCAACTTCCAATCATTCATTTCAACCCTGAGCTACAAATATTTCCCTTTATTGGTCAAGAAAGTCCAGTTGTCTTTTGAAAAATCGCCTTGGGGACAGCCATGATCTGGATGACGGAGCATCTCCGTAGATGGTTCTGAAGGTCCTTGGCGCTGTCTGAATGGGATTGTTTTCTCACACAGGATTTGTTACCCAAACCAGGTAACCTCATCAGTCCTAAATGAGGTTGTCAGTGACACGAGCACTGATGAGGATCTCTGGTTTGGTAAGGAAACATGAAAAAGGAAGAATTTTGACTTCCAACAGACAGAGCCATGTTATTTCGTGGTGGCCAGTCCTTGACTTACCACCATGTTTTTTTTTCTGAGATTTTTCAAAATTTTATTGATTAGTTTAGCCAATAGAATTGGTGTCTTTTGGTGGCCTCCTTTCCAAAACCGAACCAGGTCTGACCCTGCTTAGCTTCTGAAAGACCACCCGAAGTTGACCAGCTGCTGTCTTTTGGCTGAGCTGAAGAAATGAAGGGGTCCCTCAAGGAGAGCTCAACCCTCAATGACTTCCAGGAGGTCTCCCTAATGGAGACCCCAGACCAGTGTCTGTCTCCACTCCTCTGCAGGAGCTCTGTGATGACCCGGGGTGTGGCACAAAAGAAACGAAGTCACCAAAGTAGATAAATTCCCTTTAATGTCTCCAACTTGGCCCCCAATGTCCAGTTATCCTCGGCTGGAGATCAAACTCTTACAAAAACAGTCTACGAAGGGAGTAAATGCAGTCCGAACCCAAAGTAAAGATAATTAGAAATTTTAAAAAAACCAACACAAACCACGCTGAAGTACTTAACACGACAGGCCAGGATGATAAAAATTGCAGACTTCCAAAAGATAATGTAGCATCCACCATTGGGAGGACGCCAAAACCCAGATAAGCCTCGACAAAGATAATGCACGCTTTGTTTCCAGCAACTTTGCCATGCACAGTTTGCCCTTCTCAGCTGCAGCCCATGAAGGGGATCAGGGCCCTTTCCTCTCCCGTAAGCCACGTTGCTCCCTTCTCCATTCCTCCCTGCGTGCCCTAGGATGAAGGAGTGGCCCTGGGTCTTACTCTGAATCCCCAGCCAGATTGTGCCCTTCCCCCAGTTTCTTCCACAGCCAATGGAGCCACACTCCCACTCCCTGTCAGCTGCTCAATCTCCCCCTCAGAATCAGATTCCAACAAGGGCATGACAGAGCCTCAGACCTAGGCAGCTCTCGGGTTTCTGTCCTTTGTTTAGCGACCATTCTAAGTTACAACATTACTGAGAAAAGAGACTTATGACCATTTTCTTCTCTCTTACGACCATTGCAGTGTCCTCGTGGTCACGTGATCAAAATTCAGAATGCTTGGCAACTGGCATGTACTTACGACAGTTGCAGTGCCCCAGGGTTACGCGATTCCCCTTCGGCGACTTTCTAACAAGCAAAGTCATTGAAGCCAGATTCATTTAATGGAACATCTGACTCACTTAACAAATGGCGGTGATTGGCTTCAGAATTGTGGTGAGGAAGCTCACTTAGCAACTGTCTCGCTCAGCAACTGTCTCGCTCGACAACAGAAACGTTGGGCTCAATTGCCATACATCAAGGACAGCCTGAAGGGAAAATAAACCCCCCTTCCGTTGGAAGCAATCGCTGTCCACTCTGGTCCACAAGCTCAGGCGCTTCCAGGCCTCTGTGCCTTCGCAGGGTTTCCACGCAGGCAGGGCACTGGTCTGTTTCTGTGACTTCCCTGCTCCTGCAAGGAGACTCTCTCCAGAATGGCAGGCTGAGAAAAAGGAGCCGGGAGGGAAAGAGGAGGGGGACCCGTAGCGTTCGGACGTGCAAGCCTCTCTCTCCCTCTTTCTTGAAACAGGACCTGGGCATGCGCGCCATTGTGGAAGAGAACAACTACATGGAAACAGGTGAGGCTCAAAGAGCAAAGGTGGGCTATTCTGACCCAGCTCCCCAAACACGACAAGCCCTCTGACGTGAACTCAGAAAAGATTCCTTTATTCGGAATACCGCCAATCCCAGCCAAAAGTTTCTCCCTCACCGCAGGCTGACAAGTCTGTCCAGCAGGGAGATGAATTAGCTGTCGGTCGCATCTATTCACCTCCACCCCCTGCCTTTTATCCCCAGAGCTAGGGTAGCAGCAGTGGCTCTTCTGTCCCAAGGACCGGCCCATAGATTTCCACTGCTCTCCTCTCCTCTGCCTTCTGTGCATCCACGCATCAGGCACTGGACCCAGCTGTTCTTCCTCTTCCTCATCAGTCACCTCCAGGCCTGGGAGCTGTTGATTCTCCACTTGAGGGCTGACGGACAGCCTAGGCTCCACCTCTGTCTCTGTCTCTGTCTCTCTCTGTCTCTCTGTCTCTCTCTCTCTCTCTCTCTCTCTGTCTCTCTCTCTGCCAGCTCCATTCCCTCTTCCCCCTCGGAGCTCTCAGGTTGCCCCGATGCTGATCCTGACTCCTCCTCCTCTTCCTCCTCCTCCTCCTCCTCCTCTGATTTGGCTCCTGGAGGGGCTGGCAACCAACAGGCCATAACATGGGTGAAGTTTTAGGGTGAGCAAAGCTAGGATGAACCCCCCCCTGCCAGCCGCAATGCTTTCTTCTCCTTCAATGGAGGCATTCAGATAATAGGTTTAACCTGGTTCTTGAATACAGGTAGTCCCTGGCTCTCAGTCATTCATTTAGTTTAGTGCAGTGTAGTGTAGTGTAGTTTAGTGTAGTGTAGTTTAGTGTAATTTGGTGTAGTGTAATGTAGTATAGTGTAGTGTAGTTTAGTGTAGTGTAGAGCAGTGTAGAGCAGTGTAGAGTAGTGTAGTGTAGTTTAGTGGAGTGTAGTTTAGTGGAGTGTAGAGTAGTGTAGTGCAGTGTAGTGTAGTGTAGTTTAGTGGAGTGTAGAGTAGTGTAGTGTAGTTTAGTTTAGTATATTGTCATTGCACCTCACACAACGAAATCAAACACCATCTTCAGTGCACATCATGACCATGAAAATAAACACGAACACACATCCTTCACACTCCACACATAAAACCGAAAACCCCCGACACCACACCGACACTGCACTATACAGCAGAATTCAAAAGAGCTCCTGCCATGGGATAGAAGCTATTTTTCAGCCTATTTGCCCTTGTTTTTATTATCCTACACCGTCTGCCAGATGGTAACAGTTCAAAAAAAGGGTTCCCAGGATGAGACGGATCTTTGAGAATGTTTTGAACTTTCTTAAGGCAGCGGGAGCTATAAAGCTCTTCCAAAGAGGGGAGAGGGCAACCCATGATCTTCTGGGCAATGACATTAAACCCTCTGGAGCGCTGTCCTATCTGCCCCTGTGCAATTGGCAAACCATCCACAGGTGCAGTAAGTTAAGATACTCTCTATGGTGCAACGGTAGAAGGTCACCAGCAGTTTTCCATCCCGTTGTTGTTTCCTGGGAAGCCTCATGTAGTCTAATCTCTGCTGGCCCCTTTTGACCAGGGCTGCAAGGTGAGCCCCCCAAGTCAGGTGCTCTTTTAGGGTAACACCCAGAAACTTAAAACTGGCCACTTGCTCCACTGGGTCTCCGTTGATAAGCAAGGGCTGGATGTCTGATCTGTTCCTTCTATAGTCCACTGTAAGCTCCTTGGTCTTATTGGTGTCGAGGACCAAGTTGTTGTCTCCACACCACGAAAGCAACCGGCCCACCTCATCTCGGTAGGCAGACTCATCCCTCCTGGAGATGAGTCCCAACCCTGTTGTATCATTTGCAAATTTAGCAACTGTTCACAGTTGCAACAACACTGGGGAAAAAAGGGGGACTTTTAGGACTCTTGCAACATCCCTCTGTCCTGTGACCCAAATTTGGTTAGCTGGCAATCAGCATGTATTTATGGATAGTTGCCATCCCAGGGCCTCGTGACCGCCATTTGCCACTTTCCCAGCCACCTTCTGGCAAGCCAAATCAACGGGGAGCCAGATTGCAATAATCCGCTTAACGGCCGGAATGAATTGGTTTGAGCACCGTGGGCAAAAATGGCCGTGAAATTGGGGCACGGCTCACTTAACCAAAGCCCTGGAAATTCTGACTGGGGCCATCCCTCGAGGGATGCCCCATCCCGTCTTTTCCGACATTATGCCTAAAATGAACCTAAAATGAAACAGATCGAGCTTAGATAAAAGCAAGCGCACCTTCCCGAAGCCAACCAAGGTACACGCTAACCGTGGTTAACGTGGGGGGGTCAGGACACACGCCGTCGTTCGTTTGAGTCGCCCTTGCCACTCCATGGTTGGTGGGTTGGGGGCTGAGTGTGTTATGGCAATACAACTGAGCTCTTACACACCCGTATCCTCTTGTATCGGGAATGGCAGGTGCCGTGCTGGATGGACGAAGGTGGTGTCTGTTTGAGGAATGTTGCAACAAATGAGCCAGTTAGTCTAGTGGTTAAGGCGTCAGGCTAGAAACCAGGAGACAGCGAGCTCTAGTCCGGCCTTAGGCATGAAAACCAGCTGGGTGGCTTTGGGCCA